CCTCCTCCTGGTGGCCCCGGTGTTGCTGCTCCTTATGTGTTACTGACGACACCCTCCTGGTGGCCCCGGTGTTGCTGCTCCTTATATGTTACTGACGTCCTCCTCCTGGTGGCCCCGGTGTTGCTGCTCCTTATATGTTACTGACGTCCTCCTCCTGGTGGCCCCGGTGTTGCTGCTCCTTATATGTTACTGACGTCCTCCTCCTGGTGGCCCCGGTGTTGCTGCTCCTTATATGTTACTGACGTCCTCCTCCTGGTGGCCCCGGTGTTGCTGCTCCTTATATGTTACTGACGTCCTCCTCCTGGTGGCCCCGGTGTTGCTGCTCCTTATATGTTACTGACGTCCTCCTCCTGGTGGCCCCGGTGTTGCTGCTCCTTATGTGTTACTGACGACACCCTCCTGGTGGCCCGGTGTTGCTGCTCCTTATATGTTACTGACGTCCTCCTCCTGGTGGCCCCGGTGTTGCTGCTCCTTATGTGTTACTGACGTCCTCCTCCTGGTGGCCCCGGTGTTGCTGCTCCTTATATGTTACTGACGTCCTCCTCCTGGTGGCCCCGGTGTTGCTGCTCCTTATATGTTACTGACGTCCTCCTCCTGGTGGCCCCGGTGTTGCTGCTCCTTATATGTTACTGACGTCCTCCTCCTGGTGGCCCCGGTGTTGCTGCTCCTTATGTGTTACTGACGCCCTCCTCCTGGTGGCCCCGGTGTTGCTGCTCCTTATATGTTACTGACGTCCTCCTCCTGGTGGCCCCGGTGTTGCTGCTCCTTATGTGTTACTGACGTCGTCCTCCTGGTGGCCCCGGTGTTGCTGCTCCTTATGTGTTACTGACGTCCTCCTCCTGGTGGCCCCGGTGTTGCTGCTCCTTATATGTTACTGACGCCCTCCTCCTGGTGGATGGCGTCCTGGAGACCATTAACAGGACACCTGTTAATGGTCTAAACATTCCATTCACTTGGGCTTCTCTGATGGCTCGGTGGAAGAGCTTCCGCCTCACACCGTCGGGTCGGGGGTTCGAGCCTCCTAGTGATGCCTAAGGGAATGAGATGTGGTGTAGTTACGTGCTAAGGTTGGAGATGGCGACTTTGTTGAGTAGGAAGTCCTTGGTTGTGTCGGGGAAGGCCTGCTGGCCCGGAGTCTGGAGGCTAACACTTGACTGAAGTCTGGGCTCCTGCGTCACAGCTGCTTCTTGGCCACAGCTGCTCCTTGGCCACAGCTGCTCCTTGGCCACAGCTCGCCGGGTGTAAGTGAGAGAGAAGTATTGGGTGTGGTGTGTACAAGGTGTGACGTCACAGTGGTAATGTTTCTACAGGTTTTGAATCCTTCTGGATAGGTGTAGGTGACTCACTCACTCATTCACTCACTCACTCGCTCGCTCGCACGCACGCACATATTAGGCGATTAGGTGAGTACACACACATTCGGGCTGAGAGGTATGAGCTACGAGGAGAGACTACGGGAATTAAACCTCACGTCGCTAGAAGACATGAGTTAGGGGGGATATGATCACCACCTTACCTTGAGGTGCTTCCGGGGCTTAGCGTCCCCGCGGCCCGGTCGTCGACCAGGCCTCCTGGTTGCTGGACTGATCAACCAGGCTGTTGGACGCGGCTGCTCGCAGCCTGACATATGAGTCACAGCCTGGTTGATCAGGTATCCTTTGGAGGTGCTTATCCAGTTCTCTCTTGAACACTGTGAGGGGATTGCCAGTTATGCCCCTTATGTGTAGCGGAAGCGAGTTGAACAGTCTCGGGCCTCTGATGTTGATAGAATTCTCTCTGAGTACCTGATGCACCTCCGCTTTTTAACGGGGGTATTCTGCACATCCTGCCATGCCTTCTGGTCTCATGTGATGTTATTTCTGTTATACCATGTACAAGATTCTCAGAGGAATTGACAGGGTAGATAAAGACAGGCTATTTAACACAAGGGGCACACGCACAAGGGGACACAGGTGGAAACTGAGTGCCCAAATGAGCCACAGAGATATTAGAAAGAACTTTTTTAGTGTCAGAGTGGTTGACAAATGTAATGCATTAGGAAGTGATGTGGTGGAGGCTGACTCCATACACAGTTTCAAATGTAGATATGATAGAGCCCAATAGGCTCAGGAACCTGTACACCAGTTGATTGACGGTTGAGAGGTGGGACCAAAGAGCCAGAGCTCAACCCCCGCAAGCACAACTAGGTAAGTACACACACACACACACACACACACACACACACACACACACACACACACACACACACACACACACACCCACCCACACACCCACTGGATTCGAACCCAGGTTCGAATCCTGGTCACGGCAGATATAGCCTAAGGTTTTTACTGTCTGGTAGCTGAGTGGACAGAGCGCAGGATTCGTAATTCTGTGGCCCGGGATCGATTCCCGGACCAGGCAGAAACAAATGGGCAAAGTTTCTTTCACCCTAAATGCCCCTGTTATCTAGCAGTAAATAAGTACCTGGGAGTTAGACAGCTGTTAAGGAGCTTCTGCC